ATATTATCGAGATATCAAACGGAGCTTTTACGTCGTTCGTATTTCTAATCCACGGATGACCTGAAGCAAAAATAAATGCAAGTCGAATTTAATATCATAAAATCTTTTTATTTTTATTTATTTTTTATTTTTTATTTTTGGGAGACTTACAAATGGCTTGAGCTGCAGTCATTCTTTTCCTCGGATCTTTATTCAACAAACGTTTGACGAAATCTTTTGCCTCGGCAGATAAAGTTGGCCAAGGTTGTTCTTCGTACGTCGGTTCAGCTTTTACAACAGCCCGGAATATTCCAGATTCCGTTCGGGCCCAAAATGGGCGGCTCCCACATAACAATATGTAAGATATTACACCGATACTCCAAACATCTGCCTCGGTACTATACGCCCTGTGTAATACTTCAGGCGCTACGTAATACGCACTTCCAACAATGTCGTTTAGCCTTTCATCTGAAAATAATTGAACAAAATATTAAATATATATATATATATATATATATATATATATATATATATATATATATATATATATATATATATATATATATATATATATATATATATATATATATATATATATATATATATATATATATATATATATCTATAGCCTTCAATGCCGAGTTTTCTTCTTTGGTTTTGAACAAGAAATTCTAATGCAGTAATAAGCGACGACAGTTAAAACGGGATTACAAATAAAAAAAATAAAAAATAAAAATAAAAACACGGGTTTTTTTTTTTTTATTTGCTAACCTCGGGTTTAAGGTCTCGATGCACAACTCCTTGGAGATGGAAAAACGCAACGACGTTTAGTATTTGCATCATCACTACCTTTGCATCTTCTTCAGTATACTTTCCACCCCTGTAACAAATAGTTAATTTACAATTTAGGATCGATAATTTGTTATAAGAGAATAATTTTATTTGCTTTCTTTGAATATAATTCATGCTCTTAAAAAAAAAAAAAAAAATGGAAGTACAACCTTGAAAGTATTCGATCCAAAAGCTCGCCTCCTTCACATAACCTGAGAATAGAGTTACAATTAACCGCGAGTTACAAAGAAAAACGATTCAAGAGTAACATAAAAATGCAATAAAAATCTTACTCCATGACAATGTAGACATTTTCTTGATCTTCGTACGCATCGTGAAATTGTATTAAATTGGTTTGACCGGTCAAAGCTCTCAATATTTTCACCTCTTTTCGTACATCTTCGATAGCTATAGCAGTGGTCATCTAGTAAATTCAAAGTTCAATCAGAAAAATTAGAATAAAAAACATATGATAGTGTTTGATGCAATAAGCAACTAATCGAAACACGAAACGTATCCTCACTCATTCAAAAATTCCGAAGTAAAATTATTGAATTACACATAAATAAATTATGATAACTTATGAAATTTCGCGTAACACAAATTTCGTAAATGTTCGTGGATTCATTAATTGGTCGTGAAGCACTACTTACATATTCTATACATCATTCTTTTTTCGCCACATGGCGTTTCGAATCCCCTTTCGCGACGGTTTATTGCATTTCTTTCCGAGTTTATTCTCTAATAGTAACTTATTTATTTGTTTCAACAAATAATTTTCGTAATTCAATTTCGCAGGACAATCTCTAGTGTATCTACATTCCCTCGAATTGAATTTGGTTCGATCGATCACCTCATATAATAACACGGGACAAACGGGAAATACGTGGATAATCGTAACTAATGCGTAATTTATTCGTATGTCATTAATTATTTCGACAAGAAAAATACGTAGACGAACACGAACAACGATTAGAAAAACTCGTTTCTGCGCAGATCAGATCGCCGTAAACGAATCAATTAATTTAATTAATTAGGCATTAGCTGATAAATAAATAATTAGAGAGAGAGAGAAATTCACACCTTAAGTTTAGGAATGACCTTAACAGCAACATCTTGGCCTTTGAATTCACCCTTTTTGAACTTGGCTTTACAAGTATACCCAAAATGCCCTCGCCCAACTTCTTCCCCCAATTCATACTTGCTGCTCAAATTCTTCGTAAACCCAAAGCTCTTATCCAATCCATTCCCATCCGCCACCTCCTTCCCCTCCGGAATCGCCGCCTCGTTAGGTTTCACCGACCCGTGCCGCCGCGCCAGCACCGCCCTTATGTGCTTCGCCGGAGACGGCGGCGGAAACGGCCTCTTGAAAAACCTCCTCGGCGTCCCGCTCGTCGGCGCCGGAGATCTAGCCGGGGACTTCTTCGAGAAGAAATAGTGAGCTGGACTCGGGCTGTAGAACGGGAAAAACGGCGATTTTTTGCCTACATCGTCGTTCTTCTTCGCATTTTCGGCGCCGTTCGCCGATTGAGCAGGGTTTTCCTTACCATCGTCAATTGAATTAACTTCCGGTTTAATTTCGCCCGACGAATTGAAATCGAGTTCTTGTGAGGTTTTTGGTTTGGAAGTACAAACTCCCATTTTTTTTTTTTTTTTTGAAATGGGGCTCGGAATCTGCTTCTATATACAAAAGAAGAGAACAAATTATCAAAGATTTTAATACATTTTTTTTTGTGATGGGATTTGGAGTTTGAATCTGTGTTTGATGAGTGAGAGAGAATGTTTTAGAGAGAGAAAGTTTTAGAGAGAGAGAGAGGGGGGGGGAAGATCTGTGAAGAAGGTGATAAAAAGTAAACGACGATGGGTGCTTTAGTTTAATTTCAGTCAAGAAAAATTAAAAATAAAAAAATTAAAAAAATCGAAATTCGAAAATTGGATTTTGATTTTGCGAGAAAAAGTTGGGAATTATAATTAAAGATAATGAGTGTGGGGCCAGGGTGATCCAGGGTGTACAGTTAATCCACGTGGCGTGAATGTGGTGGGGTTTGATCTTTTTTATTATTGTTTTGACATGTTTAAGCTTTGAGTATTTGGTGATGTGTGATGGAGGAATTTCTTTGATGAAGCTATTTGGTTTGTTTTTTTATGCTAGATTTTTATTTTCTCTTAATATAAAAGAAAAACCGTTTGAAAAAGTTAAAAAAGGAATTCTAAAACAAAATGGCAAATTACGGGCAACTCCTGAGGTAAGGTAAAATTATGAAAAATATAAATACATTCCTTTCGTAATATTTTCTTGTTAAGTTACAATCTGATGCCCCACCTTTAGTCTATGGGAATAAATGAGAACTTTAGTATTTAGAAACATTTTAGCCAAAATACAAGATATAATGTTATTATCTCCTTCATTTTTTTTCAACATAACTCATCTTACAAACAATACTTATAATTTTTTAATGCAATTGTTTAGTTTATTTTAATATTTTATTAACTTGAGCATATATTTTTTTAGGTTATAAGGGCAGATCAATTTGTCGTAATTAAAATCCATCACGAAGACCTATTTAAGAAGCGTGAATATGTTGGGGTTTGACTTACATCGAGAGAGATGTTTACCATGATTTGATGTCCTATTTTGAGATATTTTGTTTAAGTAAAGAAATTAGGTATTTAGTTACTAATGTGGTTTGGTTAGAATTGCTATATAAAATTGAGTTCAGGATGCAGGATGATATCTAGAGTTAGACATTATAGTGAAATTAAAAAGAAAAAATGAGCAAAAAGAACTAATTACATAGGAAAAATAAAGGTAGAAAAATTAGCCACATATAAATTTTCAACTCTTACACAATATATATATATATACATATATATATATATATATATATATATAATATGCCTAATTGGACCAACTCAATGAGCCTACAATTTCTTTATCTAATGGGTCACAAATCTAATATTGAAGATCACTACCACCGAGGCCCAATCACCTTCAAGTAATGTTTGAGCCCGACAATCTCAACTAAGATATAAATAAAGGTTTGAACTCATTCCTTAAGGTACACCCTATTATCGAAGTAATATTATAATTCGTATTCTCTCAACTACTTCGTTATCCGCACGTCTGACTTGAGCGTCGGAGGGGTATCCGCCGGATCAATCTCGGCCTAGTTCACGTGTTCTCTATTCGCAGATATCTCATGACCATTTAGCTCGTGAGTCAGTGATCCACTTTGCTCTCCTAGTTCATTCTACCTCATTTATTTAAGGTGATTTATTTCTAGCATCATCAAGAGTCAAGATAGTAGAGAGGTAAAAAGGTTAAAGAAAAGGCAAATGATATAATAAACGTTGGTAACAAGAAATTCAGCAAGTGATATCAACATATTTAAACGGAATGCAAATGATTAGGTAGTGTTCGGCGCATTTCGTAATTGTGGAGTGTGTTTGCGACACACTTATAATTCAGGGGTGCAAAGAGAAAATTTATTCTTTTTCTTTTATTTAAACAACTAATGAAGAATAAAAGTTTGTTTCCATGATTTGGAAGAAAATATTCAATTTAAATTAAGGTCTCGATTTATTACCGATATCAGATTAATGTTGTGTTTGCAAAAGCTTTTAAAAATAGATTATAAGTTTTTCTTCTCACATAATTTGTTTTCGGTGTTTGCAAAATCGATTTTTTCATTTTACTTCTCTTAAAATAAGTTGTTTTAAGCTATAATTTTAAAAGCACCCATGTACCAGCTTTTTCTATTTTAGTTAATTTTTTTTTTTTTTTGTTTTTTTGCAAACACCCACCCACGGCTTTTAGAATTAAGCACTTAATATCAAGTTTGAAACACGTGAGCGTGGATTATCTCCACATTGTGTTTTTAACTTTCTTATTTTTTAAACTAAATTTTAGTTATGGAATAAGTAGTGCTTAGTGGGATTAGTATATGGCTTAGTGGGCTAAGTAGTGCTTAGTGGGTTAAATTGTGAATATTATTTTAACTACCCAACTAACCCACTAACCCATTATCTTGAGTGCTCTTGTGGTTGGTTTTCTTGCAGATCATGAGCTGAGGAGTGGATGCTTGGAATGCCTATAAATACCGACTTCAATACTCAAGGAAGATTATCGATTCCAAGAAGCAAAAAACCGAGAGCTGAAAAGAAAACATGAGTGTTTTAGAGTGGTTTTAGAATCGGTCGTTTGTACTCTTCATGAGTATAATCTTTACGTACTCCTTATGAGTACATTCTTTACGTACTTCTCATAAGTACATTCTTTGTAGTCTAGATTGTTTAGTATATATGTTTCTAGACTTGGTTGTAAGAATGATCAAGATAGTGATTCATTCATAAGTTCTTTACGTACTCATCACGAGTACATCTTTGAAATCTAGAATTTTTAATATTTTTCTTTTAGTATCTAGATTTGATTGTAAGAATGATCTTGAAAAAGATTCATTCATAAGGAAGAAGTTTTCGCACCTCTTCTGTTTGTATTCCTGGAATACTGATTTTAATATATTTTTCGTCCTGTAAAGGGCAAGTTCACAAGTCTTTACTTGTGAACATTTTTAATTCTGAGTATTGTTATTTTATCCTTATATTTCCGCTGCATGTTTGTTCAAGTGTCATAACACTTAAGATAACACCTCTGTATTAAACGAATTCGGGACCATAAATTCTTTCAATTGGTATCAGAGCCAACACTTGACGTATACTAAGTGTTTGTTCCTATTTTTTCAGAAACGAATTCGTGATAGATACTCAGATGACTGCTTCTATGCGACCTCCTGTACTTGATGGCACAAACTACACCTACTGGAAATGGGCGTACATCAAAGCCATTGATGAGAAAGCCTGGAGATCTATTCTTACTGGATGGAAGCCACCAACTATCACAGATACGGATGGGGATGTATTTCCAACACCAGAATTACAGTGGACAACAGACGATCTATCAAATGCACTCCAGGCAGAACTAGAAAATGAAGAAGTTGCTAGGGAATATGATGATGATGCAGATGAATGTCACAACAATGTGGCATTTCAAATTCAGAAATTCAATAGGGCGTACAGACGAAGTGGAATCAAGCCCAGACAGTTATTTCCAGAAAGCTCTCCACAAAATCGACAAACTCAGCCTCGGAACAGATCTATTCCACAGAGAACATTTCCTCAAACATCTTCTCAAAACACTTCAAAAAATTCTTCATTTATTCGTCCAAATTCTGAACCACCTAACTTGGATCATATTAAATGCAGGGCATGTTCAGGATTTGGACATTATGCTAATGAATGTGCAAATACCTTGAGAAGAAGAGGAATGAGTCTGATTTGTGCAGTCAGTGATGAGGAGGAAGAGCAACCTGAACAGACAGAGGAACAACAATCCACTAAACAAGCCCTCTCAGTCAGATATATCACTGGAAATGCTTCTGAAACAGAATCACAAGGAGTCTCTCTGGATGCTGCAACACCTTCTGAAACACTTTCAGTAACTGAAATTTCTGAGTTAAATACTGATCATTATACATGTTTAAACTCTATTTCTTTGAATGCAGCAGAATCCAGTAATGAAGCAGTTAGTGATGAGGAAGAAATGTACAAGAAATTGTTCAGTGACTTGGAAAAGAAGACTCATGCTCTAGATGCAGTCAACAAGGAAAATCCTTCTCTCAAAGAAACAATCACTCATTTGGAGGTTGGTATCACCAAGAAGGATCTTGAACTGGCAAAGGTGAAAGATGAACTCAAAGAAGCGACTCTAGCAATCAAGAGGATGAATACCGACACAACTAAACTCAAAGAGATTGTGTCACTGGAAAAGTACAACAAAAAGGAAGGTCTAGGGTTCAAGAAACAAGTGAAGAAGCCAGTGAAGACGAAAGAAGTTGTCGTTGTCAAAGAGAAGAGTTCAGATGGCAAGGAATCCAGGAATTTCACAGTCACCACTTCAGAGTCCAGAATAAGGGGATGCATTTGTCATTATTGTTTCTCACCAGGACATATTCGTCCATTTTGTGAAAAACTCAGTAGTGACAAAATGTTGTACAAAATGAGCCACAGCACTCCAGGGAACACCTCCAAGAAAAATGTAGAATTTACCAAAAAGGAGTGTAGAATATGGACTCCCAAAGGTAAACTTATGTACAAAGCAGTATACACTTCTTTAAATGCTAACATTTCAGGTTCATGGTACTTTGATAGTGGATTCTCTAGGCACATGACTGGAACTAAAGAATTTCTATCAAACTACCATACACTCAATGGAAGACGTGTAACCTATGGAGGAGGAGCTAAAGGCAAAGTGGTTGGACGTGGAACACTCAGTATTGAGGGACTTCCAAAACTTTCAAATGTCTTACATGTTGAAGGATTGGGGTCAAACCTCATCAGTATTAGTCAATTGTGTGATGATGATCTACGGGCTCAATTTGATAAATACTGTTGTTATGTGTTTGATAATCAAAATCATTGTGTACTGACAGGTCCCTAATCAATGGATAATTGTTATCAAACAGGTGACACCATCTCAAGCAAGAGCTCAAGAGTAAGTGAACTAGAGCTGTGGCACCAGAAACTAGATCACACAAACTTCAAAAATCTGAAGCTGCTCAACAAGTACAATGCCATAAGAGGAATTCCTGATCTCAAGATCAAGGACATTCCTATATGCGGAATGTGCCAGAAGGGAAAGCAAACTAGAGTATCACACAATGTGTTACAACCCGTTGGTACCACCATTTGTTTTGAACTTGTACATATGGATCTTATGGGTCCTATAGAGGTAGAAATCCTAGGTGGTAAATATGTATTTGTGTGTGTTGATGATTTTTCAAGATATACTTTGGTGTATTTTTTAAGAGAAAAATCTGGTCTAGAATACA